TCTTTATTATTTTAATTTTAGAGAAATACATGAAACAGTTTCATTAATTTTAGAGAAATACATGAAACAGTTTCATTAAGTATTATATGAAATAATTTCACAACCATATATGAAACAACTTCATCAAAAAAGTATTATATGAAACAATTATATGAAATAATTTCACAACCATATATGAAACAACTTCATCAAAAAAGTATTATATGAAACAATTTCACAAGATTAAACAATTTCATGAAAAAATGTCATAAGATTAAGCAATGAAATCGACAGATGAAGGTGGTTTGCACGGTTTACACAAATGAGGGTGGTTTTCATTTGATCACTCCTCTATATATATAGTATATTTTAAATTCAACTATGTCCATTTGTACAACCCTTTTAATCCAATTAATTGAGATATTTATGGAAATGTTGAGAATTTATTTATTATGATTTGAATATTTATGGAAGATGATTAGAGTTAATTAATTACGACCAATACTTTATATTATAAAACAATCAAAACTTTTATGAAACCATATATATTCATCAAATTAAATGGACGATTGAGATTGAGTTGTAATGGTTGTACAAATGTAAATGGTTGCATAATAACTCACCTATATATATATATATATGTGTGTGTGTGTGTGTGTATATATATATATATATATATAAGGTTTATTTTGCAAACCATCCATTTCATACAAACATCCATCAATTTTTTTTGATGAAATGCCAAAATTGAAACAAACTAAATAAGTAAAGTAAAAAAATAAAAGAAAAAAAGAATTCATATTGGAAACAAGAAAGGGAAAAACGGGGAAAACATGTTTTATGAATCTAGCAGTTATTATACATATGAGCTTGATGAAATCATATATGACCTATGGACTTGTTTCATTACAACTATTATACATATGAAACTATTTCATTACAAACTGTTATGCATACCTATAAATATAAACTTGTTTCATTACAGCTTGAGCCTGTTTTATTGGAAGTTACCATGTTTCATTAAACAGTTTGAGTCTGTTTAATTGGAACTTAGTGACAATTTTTTTAAATAAAATTATTCTATATTTTTTTAAAATGTTTTGCAAAATTTTTAATGAATACCTCAATTAAATCTTTACTAATATTGTGCTGATCAATATATCATCCATATTTATATAAATATTGTAAAACCAAAAAAAAGAAATTCGAGGAATAAATAATTATTTTTATTTTTATTATTTTTATTTTTGGATTATAATATATATAAGTATATTATATAAATAAATAAATTAAAAGAATTTTGAAAATCGGACTAATAATGAAGAAAAAAACTCAAAATGGGGATGAAAAGTGTAAATTTGGTAAACATTGAAGGCAGGGGCTGAATGTAAATTCTTGATAATTAAAGGGGTGTGTCAGATGTTAACAGGTCCAAACTAGAAGAACCTATTTTGTAAATATACCATATTTTGAATTTTGAAAAGGAGGGAACGATGCCGACTTTTGATAGAACCTATTTCGTTCAGTCAACCAACAAACCAAGAAATTACAGGAAAAGTAGCCAACGTCCCCCTCTACAGTTTTCTTTCAAGAATTTTGAATTTTCGCTGAGAATCGGGAGAGAAATCGGAGCTCGAAAGTCCCCATCCGAAATCTCCGTTTATCGACGATTAGAGGTAAAATACTCAAATAAAATTCATGTTCTGTAACAACCCAAATATTCTATGTACCGATAATCCACATCATCATACTCATAACACAAAATATAACATCGTTTACAAAATACAGATTAACAAAATACTTTCTTATAATACATTTTGAATAACTAAACGTCATTCATTCTAAACTTTTCTCTTGCCTTTATCTTGCGAGCTATGATGACCTGCAAAACAGGTTAGTCAAACAACTGAGCGTTAGACCAAAAAGGTCTAGTGAGTGTATAATTCTCAAACAAACAATATACTTTCCAAACAATCAGTTCATAATCAAACMTGTTCTGACACATAAACTTATTTATGTCTCTCGCGGTTACACCGCCATTACATCTCTCTCTCGCGGTTACACCGCCATTACATCTCTCTCGCGGTTACACCGCCATNTATTTATGTCTCTCGCGGTTACACCGCCATTACATCTCTCTCTCGCGGTTACACCGCCATTACATCTCTCTCGCGGTTACACCGCCATTACATCTCTCCCGCGGTTACACCGCCATTACATCTCTCCCGCGGTTACACCGCCATTACATCTCTAAAATGATTCAACATATTAACCGAATTTGAAGTCCGGTCATCCTAGTCCGGATATAGAATCCAAACAAACACTTGGAATATCAAAAGGGTTATATCATCTCCGGTCAACAATCCGGATAACACCTTGTATAAGCTTTGTCCGGTTAACACTTAGAATTGAGTCAATATCTTTGTCCGGATTACAAGTTCGGACAATACCCCACTCACAACTTAACCGATTTAAAGTAATCCGGACAATACATTGCCCAACCTTTGACCGGTTTAAAACAATCCGGTCAATACACCGCCCAACTCTTGACCGGTTTAGACAAGATCCGGTCACCTCTTGACCGGTTTAGGGAGGACTCCGGACAACACTTGAGTTTATAATCCGGATGAAACTGTCCGAATATCAATCCGGTCAATACATGGACGGTTTAAGGAAATATCCGCACAATATGAACTATAAACCATAAATAACCAGTTCTAATAACTACTGAATTGTATGCAAACAGCTATACTCAAAGCTTTAATACACTCACCTTTGAATGTGAGTTTTGACTTCAGATCTGCAAATCCTCCTTCAGTCTTTACTCTCAATTGATTTTGCTTCCTAGAATATTCAAAAAATAACTATTACCATTCCTTTCATATGCACTTGCTATTTATAGCAAGTGCAGGAACCGCCTCTTCCCCAACTCTACTTTCACACATAACACTATATATATAATATTAATATAAACATAAGATTTAAAATATTCCAAATAAAATAACCCGGATATTACATGTTCTATATATGGTTAGCTTCACTTTTTAGTTGTCTATCGAACCTTTGTAGCCTTATGTCTCAAATTTTAGTTTTTGAGGTCCGATTTTGAGTTTGTAACAGATTTTCGAGTAGCTTTTGAGCTGAAAACTTAAATGGAAAAATGAGACTAAATACTTGATGGCTTTCATTGATTTTTGTTTTTTATGATTCAGTAAAATCATTTTCTAGAGTTTTAGCAAAAAGAATCATCGAAAACGGTTGAAAAATGAGGGATTGTAATAATATATATATATATATATATATATATATATAATCACGTAAATTTTTCTATAGCTATTAGTACGTTAATTTTAAATTGTTATTTAATTTTCATATAAATTTATTTAAGAAAAATTATATTACGTAATTATTTTTTAAAGTGGTATTTAATATAGTGACTTATTAATTTAGTTAGTAATTTAATAAATTCTTTTAAGGTTATTGAAGTTAGAAGCGATGGAAGGAAATTTACTAGGATGAGCACTGACGGAGCGAAGCACAGTAAACTAGACAGGTACCTTGTCTCTTCCAATTTCCTATCTCAGTGGCCCATGCCGAGCGCAGTGATTCTACCTCGCTTTCTCTCGGACCATTGCCCTATTCTCTTCAGATCCGCTCTGGTGGATTTCGGTCCTTCTTACCCCTCCCCTTCACCCATTTACTGCACGCCTATCAAATTCTTTATGAGTAAGCTTAAGAACCTCAAGCTGCGCATTAAAACATGGAAGATAGGAGTGAACAAAGCTAATACGGAACAGGTGAACTCCTTGAGAATGTCGTTGGATTCCTTAGATATCAAGGCGGAAAATACCTCTCTCTCGCTGGAAGAGATCGCTTCGAGAAGGTCATATTGATGAAAATTAAAGCTTTGGATGGGGAGAATGTGAAGGACCTCAAGCAGAAAGCGCGTCTTAGATGGGTAGTGGACGGGGAGGAAAACTCGAGTTTCTTTCATGGGATCGTCAATTCTAACAGAAGGAGTAATTTCATCCATGGAATATCCTCTAATGGGGACTGGGTCACTGATCCTTCGGAAGTTAAACAAGTGGCCTTCAATTTCTTCTCAGAGAGATTTTCGATCTAGGTCTGTCATTCGACCCCCTTTCTTGTGCAATAATTTTAAACATCTATCTCTGGAACAAGTGAGCTCTCTTGAATCAAATATTTCCTTGGAGGAAGTCAAGAAAGCCATTTGGGACTGTGGATCAGATAAGGCTCCTGGGCCTGATGGATTCTCTTTTGCGTTCTTTCGATCACAGTGGGATGTCATCAAGGATGACTTGTACCGTACCGTCAAATTTTTTGAGTCCACTGCCTCCATCGACGATGGATGTAACACCTCCTTCATCATGCTTATACCCAAATCAGAATCTTCGTGCTCTTTTTCGGAGTACCGGCCCATTAGCTTGATAAATTGTTTTTGTAAGATTATTGCGAAGATCTTGGCGTCTCGATTGAGCATGGTCATTGATTCGGTTGTCGGGCACAAACAATCTACCTTCATCAAGGGGAGGAGTATTTTAGATGGACCCATTATCGTCAGCGAGATAATATCTTGGCAAAAAAAACCAATCGCAAATCCTTGATTTTTAAAATTGACTTCGAAAAAGCCTTTGATACCCTGTCTTGGGATTTTTTGGAGGATGTTCTAAGGGGAATGCTGTTTGGCGAGAAATGGAGAGCGTGGATCAAAGGGTGCCTCAGTTCGGCATCGGTAGCGGTCCTCATCAATGGATCCCCGACTCGCGAATTCCCTCTAAGAAGGGGTGTAAGGCAAGGAGATCTCCTGGCCCCACTCCTTTTCATACTCGCTGCTGAAACTCTCAATATCATTATGTCGAAAGCCTCTCGGAAAGGTATTTTCAGTGGTATCAAACTTCCTAACTCCGGGCCTGAATTATCGATTTTGCAATTTGCTGATGATGTCTTGATCATGGGTGAATGGTCGAGATCGAATGCTACTAATTTGGTTCGGTTGTTGCGATGCTTCCAATTGTCTTCGGGCTTGAAGGTGAATATGCAGAAGAGTAATATAATGGGCGTTGGGGCTGACTATGATGAAGTAGTTTCTGTCGCTAGTAGATTACATTGCAGACCCGAGATTTTTCGTTTTACATACCTCGGTTTGCCGATCGGTGGTCGCTCTAACAAAGCTGAATCTTGGGCGCCTCTGGTTGAAAATTTTAACAAAAAATTATCAGCCTGGAAATCCAAAATCCTTTCTAATGGTGGTCGTCTTGTCATGGTCAAATCTGTTTTAGGAAGCCTGGGACTGCATTTCCTCTCGCTTCTCAAGGCCCCTATTTCGATCATCAATAAACTTGAATCAATTCGCTCGAGGTTCTTCTGGGGAGATAAAGGAGGAGTGAGAAAGATTTCATGGATCTGTTCGAGTACCACGATGGCGGATAAAGATGTTGGAGGTCTGGGGATCGGTAGTCTAACAGCTCTCAATCTAGCACTTCTCGCAAGATGGTGGTGGCGATTCAAAACTCAGCACAATCACATTTGGCGACGGGTTATCACTGCTTTACACGGAGAGGATGGGGGTTTGAATAACCTGGCCAGATGTGGCAGATTCCAGGGGATCTGGGGAACATCTTAAAAATCCACAAGGAATTCAATAAACTCAACCTTCCTTTCGCGGACTGGTTTCTAAGAGAACAAAGGCCAAATGGGATCGACTTTTCATGGCGATGGGCTCTGGATCCTCACGGTACCTTTTCGGTCTCCTTGACGAGAGCCGCTTTCGATAACCGTTCGCTAGACCAGGTTAGTTTCCAAACCTCTTGGTGGGTCAATTGGGTTCCCGCAAATATCAACATTTTAGCTTTGCATCTACTTCACAAAAGGCTTCCGACTAAAAATAATCTCTTAAAAAGAGGTGTGGTTTGCCTCTCCTCTTTGTGCCCTCTGTGTGAATGTACCGATGAAGACGAGGAACACTTGTTCATAGGATGCTCGATATCATGGAAGTTGCTCAAGGACCTGTGCACATGGTGGAAAGTGGATATAGGACAAGTGAACTCGATCGACAATCTTCTTGACCGTAGCTCGGAGGTGGCTGGGACTTCCGTGTGTAAAAAGGCATTTACCGGAGTGGTGTACGGGTTCTTCTGGATTATCTGGAACTTGCGCAACCGTAAAATTTTCCTAGCTCCCTCTCTGAATTCAGCTACTTTTCTCGCAGGCCAGCTTCAGGCGTATTCTTTTTTCTGGTTTAAAAATAGGGTGCCGACAGGTATTTTGGTGAATAGTTGGATAGAGTGGTGTAACTCCCCCATGTCTTGTTTTTTGCCTGTACTCTCTCTTTTCTAGCGTCTTGCTAGTTTTTTATGATATTTCGCCTTTATTTGCTGGTAAAAAAAATATCAATTGATGGACAAGTTAATATGGAACAAAGGTTTCTTTTAGATGTTAAAAGAATAAATCGACGTTAGTAGTCTAGAGGTTTGTTAAATTATTTTGAGGATATAATAATGAGACTAAAACATCGTAATTTGAGTTAAGTATTTATTAGGATGTAATTTGTAGAGAATGATTTATAAGATTATAAATGGTTATCTTAACGTTTTGGGACGTCATTAAGTTTAAACTTAGGGTTTGACTAAAGTTAGTCGAGGTTGAACGAGTTGACCAAGGGTTGACTTTTGACACGCTTAACCCATGTGGATTTTATTGATGGGTCAAATAGAGTTGTTTGAGGGATATTAAGATGCTCGAATATGAAGTTTGATGTTAGGTCGGGTCGGATTGACCATAATTGACTTTTGTTGACTTATGGAGAAATTAAGCCATTAATGAAATATGTAGGTATTTGATCAAGAGCTATCAATAGTCAACCTATTCGCAATCAGGTGAGTCTTCATGAGACTTCACTAGGATGCATACTTAAGTACAAATTTATTTTAGCATTATATGAATCGTAGATGATGTGTACGTATGCATGTTATTTCAATTACATATATCTTACAATATATTTTACATGTATATTATTTTTGTGAATGGTTACATGCTATGTTTTTAATTAGTTTTCGAATAACTCTAGCATGCTATCCTATATTAAAGTTTTAGGATTTAAGGATGAGAATTTAACTAGTAAGTCACGACCAGTATATAACACGACCCAGATAAGTGAGTGATCAATTAAGACTAACATATCAACCCAGGGTGTGTTTGTGACTAAATGACCCATACCCGACTAAACATTATATGAGATCTCTTATTTTCAGTGTTTTAAATATATTTTTGTAAAATTTGTGACTTTTATTATAAAGCATGCATATATGCCGCATATATATGTCAAGATATGATTTTATTCACGCAAACCATGAATTCAGTGAGCTTTATAAGGTGACTATAGTATGCCTCTCAGGGCTAGGTAGTTCGAGGTTGGATAAGGGCAAAGGATACGCTCAGAGAGTTGCGTATTATCATCTTATTTTTAGTCTTTTGTCTAGGCAGTTATGTATTGATCTTTTGTAACTTAACCTGGTATGAGACGGGTTAGAACTTAAGTTAATTTTTGGGTGATTCAAAGACTTCCGCTGTAAATGGTTTAAACGATTTATTTTAGCCGTCTTTTTGGAGTATTTATTTAGGAATTCGTGTTAGATTATGTTACATTTTTCAAAAAAATGAGGGCGTTACAAGTTGGTATCAGAGCCTTAGTTTAAGGTAACTATGTTAAGATTTCTTTAGTCTAAGCTTAAACTAAGAGGATTATTAGAAGCACGTGTTTTATTGTGTATTAGTACTGCTTATCATGCAATTAAGTTTGATCCTACATCACTACATGACATAGTGTTCCTTTTATGACTTGTAGGAGACATGGTTCACACCATTCACACTAGGGCTATCAGACGCGGACGTGGAAGCAGACACGGAAAACGTAGGACACCATACGGGCTAGGACCGAACAAAAAAATCTATTGATAGTCACCGCTCCATAGCCACACATGTTTCGGAATCCCAGGCCCGAAACGATAGTCTGGCCTACAATAATGAAGCGTCATCCCGAGAGCTCGTCAGGCGAAGGACCACACTTGAGTATTCGGAAGACTACATGCCCCATACCCCTACATGTGATGACATGATGGAGACTATAGAGACCTTAAGGGGCGAGAACACCAATCTAAGAAAGAGGTTGGCCCAAACTTTAGATGGGAACACTAGACTGAGGGGATGGCTGAACAATCTTCAGCACACACATGTCGAACAAAGAGGAGCCTTAAATGAGCTAGTTGTAAAGAATGCAAATTTGTTGGAGCAGCATCACGCACTGATTTGGGATAAAGTTGTACTTGAACAGGAACGAAGAATTGTTGCTTGTTCCGTAGGTGCTAGATTCAGAGACAGAGCTAGCTTTTATAAGAAAATGACCATAGATTATGTTGGTGTAGTGAGGGGCTATTTCTCCGACTGGGTCCAATGCATCAAAAATGGCCCAAGGGCTAGTGTGTTGTGGCTTCTCAGGCCATCCACATCTTTTGAGGACTGGTTGAGGGACCCAAATATCCCTTACTACCCCGCATATCGGTTTTAGACATAGTATCCATTTGAGAGAAGGGAGAGAGAAAGATATTTTGGGTATGTGATTTTATTGTGCGTGTCTAGATTGTTGACCGAATTTTCATCTGGTCTAGTGCTTCAATAGATATTTTTGAGCATTCACATGATTTAGAGATGCGTTTAGGATTATAAAGTATCCCATCGTTTGTAAGTGAATGAGATTATGTAATGTCTCTCTCTCTCCAAAATTGTTTATTGACACAAAATATATATACCTTACTAAGTATTATGAAAATTTTGATGTGGATTCCTTATTATGTACTTCTCTTATATGTCGTGGTTATGTTATAAAAATAGTAGTGTGTTATGATTGACTTTAGAACCATGTTAAAATAATAATACCCTATTATGTCAGTATGGTTTCTTGTGGATCAACAAGGAACGCCCTCAATGGGGAGGTGCTAATGGCATGGCTCCACCAACAGTCCGAGGTCAGACACGAGCCCAAAGTCGAGGTCGAGGCAGTATCCGAACCGCTAGTTCTAGTACTCCGTCTACGCAAGCTAATTTAGCAATCAATAGGAGTCAAGAAGTCAGGGGAGGGGGAAATCCCCTCAATAGTTGAGCAGATGGCACAAATCCTCCGGATACATTGCCAAATATGCTTAAGATAATATTGGGTGATAAATTTAGTGACAATGAAGATGGAGAGGAGGAAAGTGTTTGACAGAAGAACACCATGATCAACACTCAATCCATTGAAAAGATGGAGGTATCCGTTAAAGGTAAGGTGGAATCACCTACCAACGAGAAAACTGAATTGACAATGAAGGATAAAGGATGAAGCTTTAAAACATTCAAAGGCACCGGGCCGAAAGAATTTAAGGGAATAGAGGGCCGAGTTGGCCTGATGAAATGGGTAACCAAGATGCAGAGTTGCTTCAAAATTTGTAGGTACACAGAAGATCAAAAAGTGACCTATGCTGCTACAACCTTTGTGGACTATGCATTGCATTGGTAGGAGTCTGAGTGTGCAATCAGAGGTGATGATGACATTGCTACCATGACTTGGGAG